TCCAGCCCCGGCCGACGCTCAACCAGCCCCCGCCGCCGCTCATCCGCCCAGCTAATTCCATGCCCCCTCGCCTCAACCCGCGGCCCGTGCTGAGCGCAGCGAGCGGCCAGCAGCCTCCCTCGCTCATCGGCATTCAGACAGAGTCCCCGTCCACTCTGCACTGAAGGAACGGCAGAATTGTGCTAACTCCTGCGTTTTACAAACTGTATCCGTGTCTACGTTTTTTCCAAGCAATGAAGGGGAGGAGAAAAGAGCAAGCCTTCGCAGATGTGAGACCAGTTTTCCGGAGGAGCAAGCTAATAACTAGAAATGGAGCCACATCAATGACCATCTGTATAAAAATATTTTTGTGTAGAAGACTTGTACAGCAGAACCATGCCTACAGTACAGCCCTCCTCTGTACGAGTAACTGTTGAAGGAAGCTAACTTCTTAAATGTTCAACAGCCCAAGATTTTGTTTAACTGATTTTTACTCTATTTATTTTATTACAGTTCTTTGTAGCCGAGTACCTAACTACAGGAAAGTAGTTTGACAAACCTAGGATTAGATATTACTGTAGGAGACCTAAATGTAGGGTTGTTTGGTTTTTTTGTTTGGTTGTGTTTTGTTGGGTTTTTTTTTGTTTGATTGTTTGGTTAGTTGTTTTACTTTCTAGTGCGAAAAAAAAGCTAATGGCCTTAGGTTCAGAATTTTGGCCCTGTTTAGATAACAATAGAAGCATTTCATGCACTTGTAAAATGTAGGTGCTTCTTCATGTTTTTCCCAGAACACCTTCTTTTTTTTTTTTTTAGAAAGGTACTTTCTTAAGTACTCCCCTGAAAGAGTATCCTGAATACATGATGAGCTCTTGTACCAAACGTTAAATCTCACATGTGTTCTAATTGTGTCAGTTAAGAGAAAACAGGAGTCCAGTTTCCTGCCACAAAGTCTCTTGCAGGCTGGGGTAGAGAGAGTGGGGCAGCAAGTAGTGGCACCTGGGGATGACAGGAGAGGAACAGGAGCGAGTATTAAGTACAGTAGAATTTTATTTCTCTGTAAGTGGCTGTCTGCAGTTCCTAGAGATATTGACAGCTCATTGATAGCTTGCCTAAGAAGTGATGACAAAAACATAGAGGCTGGTGGTGGTAGTAGAATATTATGGTAATAGGGGCTATCTGCTGCCAACCCGATTTTAGAGTGTTAAATGAGTGTCTGATTTCTGCTGTTTCTAGGTGAGTTGATTAGCTGGGTTGAGGTTGAGGTTGTCTGGGCTTTATTTTTTTTTAATTAAGTTAAATCTGCATTTGGGTATTAATCATTGCTTCCAATTTTAGGAAATTGAAAGTGATTGTTTTCACTGTGTTCATTAAGCTGTTCTTGTCTGAAACAATATTAAAAAAAAAAGTGATTTGGATCAAGGTATTGAAATTCTGCATTTTCAACTGTGTAATAACATTCAATTTGACTGCCATGCTCTTCTAAAATGTTATTTTTAATTTATACCTGAAGGTGTTTGAAAGCCATTTAAAAAACATTAACTGTTATTAATTGGATTTGCCCTTGACTAAAATGAGGCCTTATAGGAGGAAGGAATGTGCTATCCCTAATCTCTTTTTCACAGGTAAATTGAACCGTCGAAGGATCAGTTTAACAGTTGGCTAAAATATTTCATGTGTGCAAAGCAGTTTCATTTGTAAATCCAAAGTTTGATATTCATGGCCTAAATGGCAATTAAGGTGTTGACAGTGTCTGTCTTAATTCTTCATTTGGATGCATCCTCAAAATCATAAACCTGAGAGATTTTTCTTTCTAAACAGCTGACTTTTTTTGTGTGAGACTTCAGCACATCAGTAAGGTCCCTCTTAAGAGTTTTCTCTGGCATCAGAGCAGATCCTTAGCCACTATGTAAGCATCAGATGACCCCTCGTCAAAGAAAAGCAGCATTATAAAACACGAACCGAGGAATTTGTGATCACTGAAACTTGTGTTCTGGGAGTCATGAGCGTCCCCGCCACGACTACGTACAGATCTGGCCCTTCTCCAGACTTTAAAACTGCTGTGAAACCCACGGGTACATTTTGACATCCTGTCCGAGTATCTCATTTTAATTGTTGACAGTGATAGGATACATCTTCAGCATTTTTTTCTAGCATTGAGTCTCCCGGGTGTGTGTAATTGTATCTTTGCTAATTTTTGTCTTGTCTCTTGTCAATAGACTTCAGTATGCACAATGTTGGGTGTTGCAGTAGAGTTGGCCGCCACCAACTGCTATAAAACTGTTCAGTACAATGTAATTCGGTTTAATCTTGTTTAAATATTCTATAATTGGGCAAAGGTGCTGTATTTGAAGGGGGGAGGGAGGGTCAGAGATGGGTAGTATTTCTTAATTTACATACACTGTAGCACACAGTAGGGAACTCCTAGCATTTGTAGTACTAAATAAGTATGTACATAGCAAAATGTCTTTATTGTGTGCTTTGCAGAATATGTGCATACAGTTTGCACGTCCTGTTTTTGGAGGTAGGATTTGTTTTAAGCAGTGTTTGCCTGGAGAGTGATATGCTTGCTGCTTAATCAAAGGATTAAAGTTTTAAAGGTATCTGTGTCTTCTATTTTTATGTACCTTGTAATGGTCTAAAATGTTAGGGCCCTTATACTGTGATTCTCTTCTAAATTCATTTATTTTTTTAAGAATTAGAAATAAAACTATACAATGGTGTTGATTTCAGTGGGGAATTTCTTTTGACATATCTAGTCTCCGGTTTTTGTAATGTAGTAATGAACTCTGACTTCAAAGTTGGCTTAATTTTATCACTTTAAGAAATGTAAAATGTTTGCACACTAAAGTTTGGCAGAGAACGTGTATCCTACATTGTTAAAAGCTAATGTAACTTTACAGCTTTTTGTACAGTTTATTTTAGTTAATAAAGCAAAACATACTAAAAAAATGGCAGATTTTACAAATGCAAGGCACGACTTGAACTACATGTCTTCTAGGAACAATACTGCAAAATATGGATGTACAGAAAGAAAGTATCAGACTTAATTGTTGCACTTTAAATCAGAATGGGTATGAACTTAAGCAGATATTTCTGCATTAATAAAACAATCACTAAACATCGCACCCCATAGTAAAGCAGTTTAATTTGTTTTGCAGATCATGAGTAAAAGGAACTAGAGTTCTGTGTCTGTGCTCTAGTTGGGTTTCTACTTTGGTTGGGATTTCTTTGTATACAATTTCTATTCTGGAATTTTTGCAGTCCTCAGAAAACAAAACGTAGCCGGTAGCCTAGAGGAGGAGGGGGCTATGTATGGCTCCATAAGGATGGGTTATTGAGAGTGGCAGTTTGTTAGATGCAGATTTCAGAGCAGAAGAGGCCATGCTTGAACCAGAACCTCGTGAGCACCCTAAAAGCAGTCACTGCCACCAGAGATCTACTTTAACAGAGCTTTTAACAGGAGCTTTTATGTGAAACAAAAATGGGAAAAATACCTAAACTTTTCAACGCCATGTGAGCACCCTAAAAGCAGTCACTGCCGCCAGAGATCTACTTTAACATCACAGGAGCTTTTACGTGAAACAAAAATGGAAAAATACCTAAACTTTTCAACGCCACTTGTAGTCTTGTAAGTCTGCTGCACGCTTATGTTGAGCAGAGAGGAGAGAGACAGAGAAAAAAAAAAGCATCTGGACTATGTAAAGAGCTGGTGTAGCTTCCATAAAGCACAGCTTTTAAACTGATACTAATGCAGAACTCTATTATTATTATTTTCTCCATCATTTTTATATTCACTGTTAGTGAAGGCTGCTGCTTTCGGTTGCCTAAATTCTTTAATCAAAAGTCACAGCAAAACCAATCCCCAGCTCTTGCTCACGAGAAGTTTCCTCTGGGCTGGTCACAGGTAAAACCGCAGGGCTTTACGTGTCCTGATTGCTGCTGCTTCTTGGGCAGGGCTTCACTGCGATAAAAAACATCTTTTGTTCTACTGCCTGAATCCCGAGGGTCAAGGCAGGTGCAGGGCCTCAGCCCTGGTGTGTGATGCTCTTTCTGAGCACTGCTCTGCACCCTGAAGCTCTGTCCTGGAGCATCGCCACGTGCTTCCAGAGAAGGAGGCTCTTGAGGGCGAAAGCTGCTCCATCTTGGGAGCTAGATCCCAACTCTGAAGAAAACATTCACTTAAAATGATCGCTTAACATTTCTATTTTAAGGTTTTTTAGGTGGAAAGCCTGTTGTTGTTCCTGTCTTCCCACACCAGCAGAACCAGCTCACTGGCTTGTTCCCAAATTTAACACCTAGGAAAGGCCCTTTCTGCCAGAGTGTTGGAAAGTTGTTGGCTTCAGCGATCGCCCCTGGACTTGTGTTGGGCTCCCAGACCCTTCCTGCAATGGAAGATGACACATGCATCACGGGTCATTTTACACAGAAGAAGTCAGATTTGGAAACCTTTTTCTTTCTTTCTTTCTTTCAGAGATGATCTTGAGCCAGTCCAGGTGACACGGGCTGTTTCTTTGTGCGAAGCCATCCTCAGATGCTTGTGCTCGTGCACTCATGAGGCGTTTCCCCCGGGGACGGCCATTCCCGGGCGGCTCCCGGGACCGGCTC